TTGCCCACGTGGAACCCAGGACCCTTCAGTCCACAGGCCAACGCTCTATCCACTGAGCCAAACCAGCTAGGGCTAGTCATTTACTTTTAGTTACATGTGCTTTTTTCAGCCAGGCTTAGTACATGTAAGTCTCTCTAAATTTCACATATACTTTTCTGAGACCAGGACTTACTTAGCCACTTTGGCCACTCGAATATAAAGCATCTTTTAGGGTAAATTATTTCTGTAGATTGTTATGTCATCCATCATGAGTTGACTCCTATATTTTCATTGTCTCAAGGTAGAGGAAGTCCTGCTAGTTCCTTTAACAAAACCTAGCTCAGGTCCTTCAAGGTGAAGTAATGTGAAGACTCTTCATGGGGTGAGGGATCCCACAGGGAGGCAGGGCCACAGAGAGTCCCATCCTTTGGGGAGCAGCAGGCTGGTCTCTAGAGGATGGTGGGTTTCCTATTTGTGGTGGCCAAGGAAGAATGCAGGGTTGCTCCTCAGGAGGTCACGGATATTCACCCTTCATTGAGAACCTTGAGGGGACAGATTTTGTTCCTCTGGGAGCCCAAGTTTCCTTTCAGAGAGTGATCACATTCCAAGTTCTGGAGGTGATTTACTTCGCCTCTCATTACGGAGGAAGAATCAACAAGACTTAATTCTTGATCAGATGTGGTAAAGACTAGTGAAGAGAGACGTGACTGTGAAAAAAGTGAAGGAAAGGCAGTAAATGTAAATCTTTTCTGAAAAGTATGATGGGGAGAGAGAGGGCAACTGAGGTCCAAGATGCCAACCCTCAGTAATTACTGTCCCACTGTTGCCCTCCAAGTCTTCACTTCATCTATTCTGCAATAGGCGGCAGCACATGTAAGGGGCACCTCCTGCAAACGTCCATCTCCAGCCCTAACCGGTTTTGCTCAGTGGATAGAGCATCGGCCTGCAGACTGAAAGGTCCCAGGTTCGATTCCGGTCAAGGGCATGTACCTTGGTTGCGGGCACATCCTCAGTAGGGGGTATGCAGCTGGCAGCTGATCAATGTTTCTCTCTCATTGATGTTTCTAACTCTCTATACCTCTCCCTTCCTCTCTGTAAAAAACCAATAAAAATATATTTTTTTAAAAAAACAAAACGTCCATCTCCAGTCAGTGTGAAGAATGAAAAGACTCAGACAAACTGCTGCAGTGCTGCCCCCTTCAGGTGGCACTGCACACACCTGTGTCCCTTCCCCTCACCATGGAACCGTTGTGAAAGTTTTTGTTTTTCTACCAAAGCACATTCATAAGCTCAGTAATTAATTCTTTTTTTTCTCATGACATAACTAGAATTAAAATACTGATCCTTATTATTTGAAATACCAAAACCTAGTATGGTTCCAGATGAACCCCTAATTAAATGAGGAAATGATGAATAACATAATACATATCAGGAAGAACTATTTTGAGGTTGTTTTGTTGCTGTTGTTTTTAGAGATAAACATCAATTTGTTGTTTTACTTATTTATACATTCATTGGTTGTTTCTTGTATGTGCCCAGACCAGAAATCGAACCCACAACCTTGGTATATTGGGACAACGTTCTAACCAACTGAGCTACCCAGCCAGGACCACATTTTGAGATTTTTGATGTTCATTTTTCAGATGCTACTAACTACAAAGGGAAAATGTATTTTCATATATTAGGGAGATCTGGCAGTTACCACTTTACTGAGCCATCAAACTTAGCATAATTAATAGTGAAACATTTTGACCTGTTGTGGCTCTAGGGTGATGTAATGTGAAGTACACAATGTCATCCATTAAGTATTCTTTGCAAAAAAAATGTTTACCCTGAATCTAATACAACCTGTAGATTTATTTCCACTTTGCAGGAAATGTAGGCTTATAGCAATACTGTTTAACAGAACTTTTGGCAGTAATATAAATATTATATATCTGCATTATCTAATACAGTAACCATCAGCCTAGCAAAAGTTTAATTTTACTTTATTTTAATAAACTTCAATTTGAATTTAAATAGCCACATGTGGCTAGTGGCTACTATATTGGACAGAAGAGGAACAAGTTAACCACTACAGGAAATAATTACACAATGGGACATTCTACAAGGTAACAAACACACCTTGAGTTTTCAGAAAGTCAATTTTATTATTTTTTTAAGTGGTATATTTACACAATGGAAGGAACCCTTAATTTATGTGACAGCATGGATGGACCTGGAGATTATTATGCTAAGCAAATAAGCCAGACAGAGAAAGACAAATACCATATGATCTCACTTATATTTAGAATCTAATAAACAAAATAAACTGACAAACAAAATAGAACCAGAGGCATGGATATATGGAACAAACTGATCAGAGGTCAGAGGGGAGGGGAGTGGGGGAAACTGAATGAAAGAAGGTGAAAAGATTAGCCAAAGAACATATGTGCATAGCCCATGGACACAGCAATAGTGTGGTGAGGGTCAGAGGGAGGGTGGGTGGGAGCTGGGTGGAGGTGGGTAAAGTGGGGAGAAACAGAGGACATCTGTAATAATATCAACATAAATAAATAGCCCTAAGGCCTCGCTGGTTTGTTCAGTGGTTAGAGAGTCACCTGGTGGACTGAAGGGTCATTGGTTCGATTCCGGTCAACAGCACATAGTATCTCAGCTACAGGCTCAATCCCCAGCCCCAATGGGTTGGGGCACGGGGCGGGAGGTAACCGATCAATGTTTCTCTTTCTCTGTCTCTCCCCTCTCTTCCACTCTCTCTAAAAATCAATGGAAAAGAAAATATCCTCAGGTGAGAACAAAAAATAAATAAAAATAAACTAGCTTCCCTTTTTTATCATATAATTTCAAGTTTTTTTTTTTTTTTTTTTTTTTTTTAAATATATTTTATTGATTTTTTTACAGAGAGGAAGGGAGAGGGATGGAGAGTTAGAAACATCGATGAGAGAGAAACACCGATCAGCTGCCTCCTGCACACCCCCTACTGAGGATGTGCCTGCAACCAAGGTACATGCCCTTGACCGGAATCGAACCTGGGACCCTTCAGTCCGCAGGCCGACGCTCTATCCACTGAGCCAAACCGGTGAGGGCAAATTTCAAGTTTAAAACAAAATAAATAAACAAAATGGGAGGAATGTTCTACTTTATTTTTATTTTTATTTTTTTAATATATTTTATTGATTTTTTACAGAGAGGAAGGGAGAGGGATAGAGAGTCAGAAACATCGATGAGAGAGAAACATCGACCAGCTGCCTCCTGCACATCTCCTACTGAGGATGTGCCCGCAACCCAGGTACATGCCCTTGACCGGAATCAAACCTGGGACCTTTCAGTCCGCAGACCGACGCTCTATCCACTGAGCCAAACCGGTTCTGGCGAATGTTCTACTTTAAAAGAAATTAAAGAAACAATATCCAAAGGATAAAAAGTTTTGGGAAACTTAAATATGACCTCAATAATAGACAAACATGTAAATTGGCCATACCTTCGCTACGCTAACCAGCCAATCAGGAGAGTATGCAAATTAACCTAACAAAGATGGCGGTCAATTTGCATACATAGGCTCCAAGCAGTGGAGCGAAGCCTGACAGCCCCGGGCGGGTGGAGCAGCGAAAGCCTCAGGGCCTCGGGGCCAGCTCCAGCTGGAGCCGGCCAGAGCGAAGGCCTGGGCCCCGGGTGCTGGAGGAAAACCGGTGCCAGCAGCCAGGGGAAAGGAAGGCCTATTGCATGAATCTCTTCATGCAACAGGCCTCTAGTAGATATAATAATTTTAATTAGATATTTAGGGGAGTGCCCTTATTTTTAGGAGTTGCCTGTGTAAGTATTTAGGGAATGAAATGTTATATCTGTAACTAAGTATAAAATGGTTGGGAGGAATATCTCTATATCTTTATCTATCTAGAGGTGGAGGAGAAAAAGAGAAAAGCAAAATGGTCGCAATTGTTGAATCGAGGTTAAGGGTGTACTGATGCTTATGGCACTATTCTTTCAATTTTCTGTGGATTTTGAAACTTTCCCCAAAAGAGTTGGGGGGCAGGGACTATAGAACTAAGCAATATTGACTGTGTCTTGAGTTTTTTCCATTAATCTATTTGCTATTTGTTCATTTTGTGTGGGCTACCATTTGCTTATAGATAAATGGTGGTAAGCACCATTTAAAGAAATATGTAGCCCAGCCAGTGTGGCTCAGTGGTGGAGTGTTGTCCTATGAACCAGGAGATCATGGTTCGATCAAGGCACAGGCCTAGGTTGTGGACTCGCTCCCGGTGGGGGCATGCAGGAGGCAGTCAATCTCTGATTCTTTCATCACTGATGTTTCTCTCTCTCTTCCTTTTTCTCTGAAATCACTAAAAATAAATTTTAAAAATATTTAAAGTTGAGTCAAATACCTTAATTTTTCTTATAAATCAATCCAAGATTACCGTTATTTGGTCTTAGCAGAATGCCTCATGACAGTCTCCCTGAAAAGTGGCTTGAGAAGCTGGGTAAGCTCTTCTAAATAAGAATAGTCTTTTGCTTCTGCTCTCAGTCCCTGACTTTGACAGCAGCCAGGGCCCTGCCTTGTTCTAAGCTAAGCAGACCATGGAACTTGGTTCCCCAGAGTGATCTCTCCCCACTCTCTGCTTTTGGAAAAAGAAGTAACCCTCAAACCACACCATAGGGAACCAGGAGCACAAGTGGCTTGTGTCCTTTCCTGTAACAAGAACTGGATGCCTGGTTGCTGTATCAAAACACCCCACTGACAGCCACAGTGACAGAATAGGTCCCTACCTGCCTTAACAGCTAGCATTCCTCTGGGGATTACCTAGTTCTTCAAGAGCAAACCAGTTTTAATCCATTCTTGCTCTCAGAATGAAGCCTCAAAGACTCCATGGGGGCAGGCTGGAACTTCTACCTTCTACCCTTTGTGTAAGCATTGGAGATCTGTCTCTATTTGTATCTACTCAGTTGCCCCTCCACCCACGCAGCCTTTGATACTCTTTTTCCATCTTTCCCCAAAGGAAAATGATTAAAATCCAAAGACACAATATTATCACTTTATTCAGGAGATAGCTGTACATAAATTTACATAAATCGGCCACACTGTCCAGAAGAGATTCAGTCGTTGTAAACAAGGAGGGTGCCCAAATGACTGCAGTGTTTCGAGCAAGTGTCCCCACACTCCCTTGAGTGAAGATGGTCCCAGGTGGAGGCGGTCCTTTTAGCAGGAAGAGGAAGCAGTGCCAGTGCACAAGCCGTGCCTCCTGGCCTGCCGACATTCAGCGGCAGGCTTTGTTGAACTCCTGGAGTGCCCAACGCCTGTTCTCAGTTGTCTGCTTGAGTTGGGTGTACTCTTTTACCAGCTTGTCAAACTCCTCCCCAAGGACCTCATAGGTGTTTAGGACCTGTCGGGACTTCTCCATGTCCTGTTCTTGTAGCCGAATGGCCCCTTCCAAACGGTCCCTAAGAGTCCGGGCACAGAAGATACAATATAAGAATCTGGCTCCTCGGAAAGTAGACAAGAATGAGGACATGTTAAAATGAATGAGTTTAGAGAGTATGGGAACCAGCTCTGAATAGCTGCACCAAGCTCTTAGGAGTTCTCACCTAATGAGACGATGAACTTCTACTTTCTCAGCAGTGTAAGTGTCAGACAAAATCTTTAGCTCTTCCATCCTGACAGAGGAAAGAAAGAAATGTGAAGCTGAGGATCTCTGACAGCAGCAGAGTTAGGAACGGGACATAGTACCTGCCAGGGTCAAAGGTGTGGGCTGAGCAGTGACAGGATAAACAAGGTCACTCTGAATTCCTGAGCAATATTTCACAGTCAAGCACCTATCTCAGAAAGCTTTCAAATAAAAGAATAAAGAATGTTGAAAAGCTTTGGGGTAATCTGAAGGCTAATACTGCTGTGTGACATTTACTGGATCCCACAAGGTGCTAGGCATGTTAGAGGAGGAGAGATGAGGGTAGGGGTTACAGGGGGTGGTGTATCCCTTAGCTCCACAGGGGTCATAGCTCACCTCAGCTTAAGGATCATGGCACTACACTTGAACTCCAGGTACTGGGCGTTGATGCGGTCTAGCTCAGACTGAGTCTTCAGCCGGTGCTCCTGAAGCAATCTGTGCAGCAAGGCGAGGCAGCGGAGAAGCACCTGAGCCCCCAGGAGGCAGGAGGAAGAGAGCAGGAAAGAAGGCAGGTCAGAAATCCTTGGCTTCCCCAAAAGCGCCCCTGGGGTCCGGGTAAGAGAGAGGAGGCTACCCCACTGCTCCAACAAACCTGGGAGTAGGTGGCACTCTTCTTCTCCAGCAGCACCACCTGCTCCTTCTGCTGGCTCTTGGCATCCTGGCACTGCTGCTTCTCACTCACCAGGATCTCTGCCAGTTTCCATACCTTTGCTGCCTTCAGGGTTTCATGGTCTGAATCTGGGCAAAAAGTCAGAGGACTGGACAGTAAAACCCTAATTGCTACGGACCTTTTAAGGCCATTTTTCAGTGCCCCTGTCCTACATCTAGACCTAGGAATTCTGTCTTCATCCAGGTTTTCTTCTGATGTCCTGTTAAAAATGGCCCAGTTCTCATAATTGTCTTCACTCTTTAATTCCAGATTTTGCCCTTAATTCTTAAGTCATAGAAATAAAGACAAGGGGAACACCTAGCCTGAACTTTCCTCCCTATTCTATGCTGATTCTCCTGAGAACTAACTCATTCTTCCCTGCAGCAAGAGGACCTCTGCTGAATAAAAGGTCCAGCTGGCATAGCTCAGTGGTTGAACATGGAACTAGGAGGTCATGGTTCGATTCCCAGTCAGAGCACATGCCCTGGTTTGCAGCCTTGATCCCACTGGGGGCGTATAGGAGGCAGCCAATCAATGAGTCTCTCATCGTTGATGTTTCTATGTCTCTCTCCATTCCTCTCTAAAATCAATAAAAAAATATATTTTTTTAAAAAGAGTTCTCGCAAAATTCCTTGCTTTTATTCTACCAGCAAGGAAACAAACAACTCCAATGTCTCCAATGCTTCCCAGCTTCTGTCCCAAATCTAAATTCAAATATACTGTTCTCAAAAGAGCAACCCAGGAGTCCTGAGGGCCGGCTATGAACAGAACACAGAGAGCCAGCACTCACCGGAATTAGGATCATGGTAGCAAAGCAGAGTGAAACATTTCTTCTTGAGTTGCTCCTCCACTTCCAGTGGGAGCCGAGCTCTCATCCACACAAAATCCTATAGTCACAGAAACACAGAGATACAAATAGACTGTGAGAACTAGGAAGATTCAGCCAATGAATACATGATGACAACAATCTCAATGATAACCAAAGGAAATGCATTAAGAGACATCAGGGAACCCTGGCCAGTGTGGCTCAGTTGGTTGGAGCGTCCTCCAGTATATCAAAAGGTGACAGGTTCCATTTCAGAGTCAGGGCCCATACCCAGAGACTGAGGTTTCAATTTCTGGTTGGGGTGAAACCAATCGATGTTTCTCTCTCTCTCTCCCTTCCTCTTGCTAAATATGTTTAAAAAAACAACAACAAACCCACAAAAAACTTATGTGGCTCAGTAACTTGGGCGTCATCCTATATACCAGGAGGTTGCCCATTCAATTCCCGGTTGGGGCACATGCCCTGGTTGAGGGCTCCATCCCTGATGGGGGGTGTGGCATGCAGGAGGCAGCCCATTGATGTTTCCCTCTCACATCGGTGTTTCTCTCTCTCCCTTCCTCTACCTAAAAAAAATCAATAAAAAAATCTTAAAAAAGACAACAGGGAGATTCATTTAAAAAAATGTAATGCTTTTAATAGGTGGTTAAAACTATCAGGAGATAAACACAATACACAGCCAACACTGAAAAATAGCTATACATGCAGAGCACTGTTTATAATAGCAAATGCCCGAACAGGGAGATTCATTTTTAGCCTAACAAATTAGCAAAGAATAATATGACTGTACAGATCCCATACTGATGAAAAAGAGTGGGGAGGTACGGGCACTGGAAACACCTTTCTCGAAAACAGTGTGTATCCTTTGACCCAATGATCCCACTTTGAGCACTAATCCTTGGGAAATAATCATATAAGGGCAAAGACACATATGAATTAGCATGTTCATCAATGTGGTTTCTAACAGCAAAAATGTGGAAACAACTTTAAATTAATATCCATCAATAAGGTAAAACAAATTATGCTACATCTATACAATGGAATCCTGTCAGTTACTTAAGCCAATGATATAATAAGAATAATGAGCACTAACTATGTGCCTGGACACTGTGCTAAGAGTGCTTTAGGAAGTATCATCTATTTATTGACTTGAAAACAAGTCCAAAATATATTAAGTGAAAATATATTCTCTATACAAGCATGGAGGGTATAATACTATGTCAAGTTGTATTATTTATTTCTAGATGTAGTATTTCAGCTTTTACTTTCTTCTATGTAATATATTTCTTATTTATTTATGTTTGACCACCATGAACGTGTACATTTTTATAAAAACAATAAAGCTTAACCAAACAATGTTCAAATACACAGGAGAAATTAAGCCAATATTTGCTCGTTCCCAACCTCTGAGGGTGGCATGAGCTCCAGAAGGTCTGCTTTCTCCAGTCCTAGCAGTGGAGGCATCACCCTCTCCTGGCTAGGACCTAAGAGCTGTGTTAGTTGAGTCACAAGTAGCTGCTGTTCAAGGGTCTCATGAAACTGAGAAGAAAAAAACAACAAGAGGTTACTATAAAACTTCCTTCACTCCACCCCCTCCATCCTCATGAACCAGTTCTTCACACATTTCAAAGTCCTCAAATATGTCATCCTCTTCAGATAACTTCCCAGCTGTCAGTGCCTTCTCCTGTTAATCTTTCTTTTCAAAACCCTGACAAAACACCCACCTCTTCCCCTCATAACTACAGTCCATTTCTCTAGCCATTACATGAAGCTCCTACTTCCCCAGATCATATAATCAGATGAAGCCATAGTTGGCCTGCTCATTCCTATGGTAACCAACCTCTACTTCATCTCTCCTGCCTCACCTTTTTGTCCTCAGAAGTTAAATCTGTGTCTTGTATCTTCACATAGTAGTCCACAAGCAGCTCTTGGATGACTCTTTGTAAAATCTCAGACCTCAGCCATGTTGTCTTATGCAGTCGAACTTCCTTCCATGCCTAGAAAATTTAAAAAATCCCAGGTAGGAACCTCTCTCTTATAATATTTTTCCTTCCTCTTAACATCCCTTCAATTAGGGCTCTTACCTGAGCCTGTTCCTTTGCCAGGGAGAGGCTTAAGCCACTCTCGTCCACGTGTTGTGAGAGACTCAGCAGCAGTTTGCTGAAGTGTGGATTCTGTAACAGGTCCTCTTCACTCAGGTTACAAGGAGGAAGCTGTCTGCTGCACACTTTAATGGGATGTCCCCCATTGGGACAAAAAGCAAAGAAGGTATGGACTCTTAATTTATACAATTGAACATAACTCTTAATATTAAAAACAACAACAACAACAAACAACCCAGGTTTTTGGTAGGAAAGTTTCCTAATTCTAATAAGATTTTAAAATCCACAAATAGCCCTACCCGGTTTGTCTTAGTGGACAGAGCGTCAGACTGCGCCCCAAAGGGTCCTGGGTTAGATTCCAGTCAAGGGCATGTACTTTGGTTGCAGGCTCCTCCCCAACCCAGGCCCTGGTCCGGGCTAGTGCAGAAGACAACCAATCGATATGTTTCTCTCACATCGATGTTTCTCTCTCTCTTTCCCTCTCTCTTCCACTCTCCCTAAAAATCAATGGAAAAATATCCTCGGGTGAGGAATAACAAAACAAAACAATCCACAAATACCCTGGCCAGTGTGGCTCAACTGACTGAGCGTAGTCCCATGCATCAAGAGGTCACCAGTTTGATTCTGATCAGGGTACATACCCAGATTACAGGCTGGATCCCCTGTAGGGGGTGTGCAGGAGGCAGCCAATCAATGTTTCTATCTCTCTCTCCCTCTTCCTTCCTCTCCCTCTAAAATCAATGAAAACATTTTATAAACAAGAATTCGGGAATGAGTCTCTAATAAAAGTAAGATCTTAGAAAATGGAAATACAGTTGAAAAGCATGAGACAAATCAATAAGGGACCCTTTAATAGGGATCACCCCAGTCCCCAAAATGGCTCATTCACACCGAATAACTTAGAGTTCTTGAGGAAGGGGGAAAAAAATGCATGTAAAGTCCCAACTTTGGATATGATATCTAGTCACATAAGCGACTTTTCTTAGGAGTAAATTAAAAAAATTTAACTAACCAAATTCTCCCTATTGTAAATAGGGTTGAATAACCTATGGATGCAGAACAGCACATGCCTGAGAAAAAGTGTAAGAAACTGGGAACCTGTCATAATTCCATATGTTCAAGGGGCTTTCTTTTTTTTTTTTTTTATATATTTTTATTGAGTTCAGAGAGGAAGGGAGGAGACAGAATCAATGATGAGAGAGAATCATTGATTGGCTGCCTCCTGCAGGCCCCCTACTGGGGATTGAGCCCACAACCCAGGCATGTGCCCTTAACTGGAATCGAACCCGGGACCCTTCAGTCCACAGGCCGACACTCTACCCACTGAACCAAACTGGCCAGGGCAAGGGACTTTCTTTCCATTTCTTTTCTGAAGTGCTTTCTGCTGGAGGCTTCTGTTTTACTCCCACTTACCAAATACTAAAATTTTCATTCTTTGGACCATCACACTCAAAGTCCTTTCACCATCATACTCAAGGTCCTTTTAGAGAATAAGAAATCTCTCCCCCTACCCCCCAAGGCAGAAAGATCAATATGGAAATGGTGAAATATAGAAGATTCAATTCTTTGAAGGATTCAAGATATAGAAAGGACTTGAGAAATGGAAAGAATTCAAGATATTGGAAGGATCTGAGATTTTGGAGACCAAATATTAAAGAATTCAAGATATAGGTAGAAAGGAAGCATTTAAGGAATTTACTGGCCACCCTTATCTTCTGGATATGGTTGCTCACACAGCATGGGAGCATCTTGAATTTTTAGTCTATTGCACAAGCAGACACTGACCAGGAATCAGTGTAATCTGTTTTCCAATAAGAAAGTGTTGAAGAATTGTCATGTATCCTAATTTCCTTAGAAACGTAAGCTTCTATGAGAGAAACCATACTGGTGAGCATTATAAGTCCTTTTTTTTTTTTTTTATAGAAAGTAAGAACCTGGATAAAACCTCTCTGCATAAGTCATCAAAACCCTTGCAAATGGCTATTCTTACCTTGTTGGAGTATTTCCATCCCTTCTCCAGGTGAACAGAAATCCCCAGAAGCCATCTGATATTCTTATCTTTTGAATCCATCCAGAGAAAACAAAAAGATGAGTTGGCTGGCTGCTCCAGAGAAAACTACCTTGGGTTCAAATGTCTATTGTCCACAAGCTGGGGAGGGACCTCAGGGATGCCTCTTAACAAGGAGGGACTATATCACACATCCAAGTCCCAAGCTCTTATACAAGTTTTATAGACAAACAGACTTATCATCAGCAAAACATTTTGCATTCCAAACACATAAATGTTTTCACTTGTTATAAGCTAAGAGGGAGCCTCCTTAAGAAAGAAAACTTTCCCATTCACTAGTCTAAGCAGGAGGATGTCCCCTCTCTCCACAACTATTTCTAAGTTAAAACTGAGCTGCTGCTTCTCAGTTATGAGTGAACTGGGGAAAAGGAAAAAAAAGAAAGAAATCAAAGTCTACTTTTCCCCCTTCGAATCACTCAGCTATTAAATTCCACAATAGTTTCTTGCACGTCTTTAACTTGTCCTTTCATCTAAGATGTGTTGGTAGTTTTTTGGTTTTTTTAAAATTATTATTAATTCCAGAAACACCCTTCAGGAGTAACAAATCATTACACACTTGAACAACTGGATTTCACATAAGAGCAGTAGTAAAGAGCACCTGGAGGAAAGAGCATAAGAAGACAGACAGGGCCCAGCCAGCATGGCTCAGTGGTTGAGCATCATCTGTGAACCAGGAGGTCACGGTTGCATTTCTGGTCAGGGCACGGGCCTGGATTGCAGGCTCAGTCCCCAGAGTGGAGCATGCAGGAGGCAGCTGATCAATGATTCTCTCTGATTATTATTGCTTTTTAATATATTTTATTGATTTTTTTTACAGAGAGGAAGGGAGAGGGATAGAGAGTTAGAAACATCGATGAGAGAGAAACATCCATCAGCTGCCTCCTGCACACTCCCTACTGGGGATGTGCCCCCAACCAAGGTACATGTCCTTGACCGGAATCGAACCTGACACCCTTGAGTCCGCAGGCCGACGCTCTATCCACTAAGCCAAGCGGGTTAGGGCTCTCTCTGATTATTGATGTTTCTATCTCTCTCTCCCGCTCTCTCTGAAATCAATAAAAATAAAAAAATTTTAAAAAAAGGAGAAGACAGACAGGGAGGTCAGTGCCAAAAGAGTAATGCAACGGTGTAGTTAACGCAGCTGAGGCCAGAGCATAGAGTACACTGAAAAGAACGACATCAGTACAAATGGGCAGTGATGGGCACAGTTTGGCCTCTGGAGACAAACATTGTCCCTTGACATTATTTTCCATTTTGCTGCTTCAACCCCTCCTCTAAGGTATCAAACTCCAAAGGACAGCGGCGCCTCCCAAAGCAGAACAGACACAGAAGGTTATGATGATGTAACATTCCACGTTCACAGAACATTGGGTTTACTCCCTCGTCTGATGAGAAGTAACATCAAAGTAACTACTCATTTGTTTTGTGACACGGTCTGGAGGGGGACGCAGCGGAGGAGTTGGGATGCTGGGGCTTCATCTGCTCAGCCATTGTTCTGTGTGAGTGCTAGGGAGATGGTTTTCTTTGTGCCAAATGTCTTCCCACCTGCAAAACTGAGATAACAATTCCTGCCTCGGAGAGACCGTAAGAATTAATGGCACAATCTACTACTGAGGTGGTAAGCTCAGCTGACCGAGGCCCGCAAATAAAAGCTATGCAGACAAAGTTCACTCACAAAGATGAGGACCGCCCTAAATTTCAGAAAAGTCCGCAGTCACGGCCTCCGCGGGGGATCTGCCTCCCGGGGGTGGGAGTGGGGGTGGGGGTGAGGGCTCTTCCTCACCGTTTTTAAAGGTGAGGGGGCGTGGACCGTGCGGCCATCAAGCTCGATCCCCCGCCCGCTGCCCTCAGACGTGTTAAAACGCGGCCACTGGGCCCCAAGCATGTAAATGTTCTGACTCAGGCGTCTTCTAAATTCTCGGAGCTGTCTTTACACGCTGCACTGAACGTTGAATTGATTTTACAGGTATTTTCACAAGATGTGACCCTCACAGAGCCCGAGATGAATCAAAATGCGGAGCGCGTTCTCCGGCGCCTACTTCCCTTCCGCCTGGGCGGCCACGGAGTCCCCAGGGCGAGGCGGCCTCGGCCCGGGACTGGCCGGCAGGACCCTCGGGGGGTCCTCTCCCCGCCCGCCCCCCGCCCCCCGCTAAAGCAAACCTGCGCCCCCCGGGCGGCCGGAGCTCCCAGGGCGGTGCGGAGCGAGCTCCGGGCTCAGCAACTTCCCCCGCGGCCGGCGCAGGGGCGGGCGGCACGGGCTCCGGAAGGTGGGGCGGGGGAGGCCGGAGGCCGCGGGAGGGCGAGGGGGCGGG